GTTGCACAAAGCCAAAAATGGAATTTTGGCAAGGCTAGTGATGGGCATGGAAAGGCCCATAAGCAACAATGTAATCCCAGTGTGTGGGATTATAAGGTGAGCATACCCGGATTGAGGAACCACTCCCTGGGCTATTGGGTAGGTTCATCCCTAAAAATACTTGCTAAGGCATGATAGAAAGTGCAAAGCTATCCTCCTGGTCTGGAGGAAAATAACCAAAGGAAACATATAGGGCCAAAAGGCAAGTAGTATTGGGATGGAACTGAACTATAGAAATCGAAGGGCATAACCAAGGTTGGTTATGCCAGCTGGGAGTGGAGAATCAAGTGGGGGCTCGAGGGTGTTGCCGCTAGCAACCGTGATGCCATGGAGAGTCTAAACTATGGAATTGTCCATGTTAGACTATGTGGCAATTGGAAAGCTTGCAAAAAGGGAGGCCTTAGCAAGCTAAGGGACAGAGTTCCTTCAAGGTTCCCAAAGACGATTCTAGGTAGCTTAGTACCTAGAAAGGCCAAGTGTAAATGGTTCATAGAACGCGCGAAATCAGAGTGGCGCAGCAGAAGCGTGGTCTTGAAGCTTGCCAAGAGGCAAGGCTGTCAAGGTTAGGGAAGTAGTTCCCGAGTGTTCAAAAAGAGGGCTTTGAACGAAAGTTGATGGTTAAGGACTTCCACGCTTATGCATGAACCATGTTACGGTGGCCAGATGACTTGCTAAGCGAGATTGGCAAGTCAGGGGAACAAGTACCCTAGTTGAAGGTGATAACTTCAAAAAGGGTGGGCCCATGGGGCCAAGCATGGAGGAGTCCATGCATGATCACAGATATGTCAAGTGAGAGGACTTGGCAGTGTGGGGGAACTAGGTTCCTAAGCTGTGATCTTTAGCGCGCTTTAAAAATAAGTTGGTGCACCGGCGTGGGGAGTCACGCCAGGCATCTTGTGTGATGCCGTCCGTAGATGCATATACGGAGGTTGGGTTCGAGTCCCGACCCTCTAGTGCTTGGGTTCGAGTCCCAAATCACTAGGGCGTGGTGATGGTTTGGAATATGAGGACACTCATATTTCGGTGGTCATGGACTCTCAGTGGGGAGACTGGTTTGGGCACACCGCCAAGCGAGGGATGCCTCGGAGTCGTGATGCACGGTTAGATTGCTTAGTGTGAAAGCTCAGCATATCTAACTTGAACGCTTTGGTGCAAGTGGCACCAAGGTCGTGGTGAGTGAGATGGGGACACCTAATCTCAGTTGCTATGAACCCTTGGCCGTAAGGGCTAGCTTGGGTGCACCGCCAAGTGTGGAGGATGCCCCCGGGGTTATAGTCAACAACTTGGAGGTCTAGAAGACCAAGTACCTCTTGGCAACTCTGTTAAGGTGCCAAGGTGAAATCACTAGGTGATCTTATGGCCAGATAAGGACAAGGTCCTTGGTTGGCTAAGGAATGAAGTTCCTGGTTCAAAATGTTGAAATTGAACTGTTTAAGGTGGTGTGGCTTGGTCGTGATGACCAAGTGGGAAGAGCACCTAAGGGAAATAAACTATGTCCGTGCGATGGCATAGTGAGTCCGAGGAAAGTAGTCTTTATAAAAGACCCATGGGAGGGTCACGAAGTTGGGCCGTGGATAGAGCCCATAGTAGAAGATGCTAAAGAGACATACTAGGGGTGAACATCCTCCGGACTTGGCAAAGAAGAGTCTTTGCTATGGAACCGAAACAATACCTCAAAAAAGGAGGTAGAGATTCAATGTTGCTTGGTGCAACAATCAACGGATAGGAGCAAAAGATGAGTGGCCAAGATAGGGCCGTGGAATACCTTGGAAGGAATCCAAGTGACAAAGTTAGGCGAGGAACACTAATGTGTTGGACGCTAACAAGTTGCGGGAAAGGAAGTGTGTTTCCAAGGAGGGATTCCGAAATGCTCCGATTTGGCGAAAGTGGAAGCTCCAAGGGAGGGAGCGGTAAGGTAGCCAAATGATAGGGCCATGAACAGCCCTAGCACAAAGTATGATAACTAGAACTTTGGCACGAAATAGAAGAGAGGATGATGGTGCCCTCGAGTAGAGAACTTCCTAGGATGGGAAGTGGAGTTGCACAAAAAGGTGCAAGGCAAGGTGTCGGAGACACCTAGGAAATTGACTCCAAGAAGTCAAAATTCAAAGTTCCAAAGTGCAAAGGTTATATCGATGGAAATCGAGACTACTCGAGAAGGAGTAGTGGGAGTGACTTAGAGAAGGGTCTCTAAGAGGTTTAGCGAGGACTAAACCAATAAAAGGAGAGAACCACTACATGTGGTCCAATCAGTCTCTAAGTTGGAGAGACTACCCTCCTTAGAGGATAGGCAAGGCATGGTGAGCCTTTGGTGTCAAACCATGGAGGCATATGTAAAAGGCATGGTGAGCCTTCAATGTCAAACCATTGACGAATATGGAGAAGGCATGGTGAGCCTTCAATGTCAAACCATTGACAAATATTGGCTAGGTGCCAAGGATGGAAATGGTAACACACGCGAGTGTTACTTTACAAAATGGTTTACCGTTCGATGAGGACATCGAACTTCGTCTATGGGTGGTGGAATTGTGAGACACAAAATCCCTAGGCCCCAAAGTGGAGCTGGAAGGGCGCCATATGGTAGTGGCCGAAGCGAGAGCCAAACGAGCGTAACACGTTTGGACCAAAAGCTCCGACTTGAAAAGTCAAGAGCGGGAGTGGAACTCCCAACGAAGTGCTCGAGGAACGAGCACGAAGCGAGCAAAAGGCGAGGCTCCAAAAAGGGACCCAAAAGGGCCAACACATGACACGTGGGAGTCCGAGATGGACCCGAGTTGGAGTCCGAAGTGGAGTCCGAGATGGACCCGAGTTGGAGTCCGAAGTGGAGTCCGAGATGGACCCGAGATGGAATCCGAGAAGGACGCCGAAGTGGAGTCCGAAGTGGAGTCCGAGATGGACCCGAGTTGGAGTCCGAAGTGGAGTCCGAGATGGAGTCCGAGGTGGACCCGAGATGGACCCGAAATGGAGTCCGAGATGGAGTCCGAGATGGACCCGAGATGGAGTCCGAGATGGACCTGAGATGGACCCGAGATGGAGTCCGAGATGGAGTCCGAGATGGAGTCCGAGATGGAGTCCGAGATGGAGTCCGAAGTCGAGACCGAGACCGGGACCGAGACCGGGACCGAGACCGAGATCGAGACCGAGACCGAGATCGGGACCGAGACCGAGACCGAGGCCGAGCCCGAGGCCGAGTCCGAGTCCGAGTCCGAGTCCGAGTCCGAGTCCGAGTCCGGAGCCTGAGAGGGTGAAAGCCCAAAGCGTTCGTCTCCCAGACCCTGGGGGGTTTGGTGAGCTCCAAAAGTATAGTAGGGGGAGGACTGCAATGGAGCTAGTTTGGCCAGGAAAGGCCAGTTTGGCCCAGGAAGGCCGGACCCAGTGTTGGGTGATGAGCTGCCCACTGGGAAGTCCAAGACTAGAGTGAACACGGACCGACAAGCAGGGTAGCTTGGTGAAGTGTTCAAGAGCCGGCTCTAGTTCCCCCGGGAGATCGACTAGCCGATGCTCCCAGTCCAAGTGTGGGTGGCACTACCTACTTGGATACCAGGCGTGGCTCAACGGAACCTCGCTCTAAGCCCATGGCTAGAGCACCCAAGGGCAGAAGGCGAGGAGAGTACCCAGGTGGCTCGCGTAAGGCCACGGTGTTCCGAAATGTTGTCCCAAAGGCCCAGACTGTGGAAAGGAAGAGGAGCAGTCCTCTAGGGTAGTGACCAAGGACACAGTCGTGTGGTGAGGAAGTCCCAGAGGACCGTGGGACTTAGTGGTCGGGCCTGTGGGTCTCGATCCAGTGGCAGTGTTGGCAAACACGGCCAGGGGCAGAAAGGGACATAGTGGGAACTGACAGAGGGATATTGAGGAAGGCTATTCCCCTTGTCGGTGGGCATCCTAAGGATGCTAAGGAGTGGATCTGAGATGACCACTCACGGATGGTTTGCCTAGTCTTGGAGAGCCAAGACGGTGATGCAAGTGGTATTGGACTACCAGTGTGGCAAAGGTGATTGGGCATGGCCTTAGCGTAACGGGCTGCTATGTCGGTGGTACCTCTGAGTGTCGGTCATGGGATCGGACACGTGGAGCACTTGGACCAAGTGCAAATGTTAAGTGGCATGGATGCCATTCTCGGGGCTAGCAAGTCCCAAGTCCTGGATTGGACTTATGGAGGTTGTGAATGAGACTCCTCCAAGTGGTCAGAGGTGTGGTTAAGTGACTAAAGTAGAATGGAAAATTTAGTCGCTTACAGAAGTATAGCAGAAATCTTCAATTTTAATCTCTTTGATATTTGCATAAACTATATATACGGTTGAATGCTTTGAGACTTTAAGTTAAAAGGGAAACAAGTTCTAAAATAGTTAAAGTTCCCTCAATATGCATGCTCCATGAGGAATTAAATATTCGTGTAATATTTGCATTCTAATACCAAGAACGCATCTCCTACACTAAATCTAAGTTGGCATCAATAGCCAAGGTTGAAACATTTGTAACATTTATTGATCTTCCTTCTTTTGTTAGAACTTTCCACACCACGAGGGGTTACAGTTGTCAATTCTACCTATATCACAACACTAACAAGATTTATGTAACTATTTATAATGATGTCAAGTATTTCAACAATACATTTCCTGTGAAGAACAATATGTGGAATACATTCATCATCTTCTGTAGGCATAACCTCCATCTTTTTATCTGCAAATATCTCCTAAGCTGCAGGAAAAGGCGTGTAGAGCTCACTAGCAGAACGGAGACCACATGTTTTAGAAAATATAAAAATAGCTTGGATAACTTTTTCTGATTATGCATGTATAGTTTCACTGTAGTTGAATATACAAATCTCACTACTTGTGGAATCAGCCACATAAAAATTAAAGACCCAACTTATGCATTTTGTAGTGAATCTATACATATAAAGCGATAGTGGGGAGGCTCGCCGGCCGTTGGATCCCAGGCCCGGGCCAGGGTCGGTAGCCATGGTTGCGCGAGAAATTTTTCTGATGTTTGCTCCCGGCCAATGGGAGGCGGCCAAGCCGCGTGGGGCGGGAGAAGAAGGCACAGCGACACGTGTGCCAGTGGTGTCCTGCCCCCGTGCCCGTTCTTCTGAATGCCTCGACTGGCTCGACACGCAGGAGCCAGACTCAGTCCTCAGCGAAGCTTTCGCAGGAGGAATTCGAGGAGCTCGCGCTCAGTTTGGAGGCGAGCAAGGTGCCGTTCTTGCTCACAGTCAGGCCGCCCCAGTTCGTGGACGAGGGCGACACGACAGTCCTGGTGAAGAACAGTGACTTCTACAAGAACTTCGTCGAGCGGACCAAGGGACGAGGCCTGGTGGTTTCATGGGCGCCGCAGAGAGAAGTTCTGGCGCACAGGGCAGTGGCTGGATTCGTGAGCCACTGCGGATGGAACTCGGTCCTGGAGAGCGTCTCCAGCGCCGTGCCGATCATCTGCTGGCCTCGGATATACGAGCAGGGGCTCAACCGCAAGATCATGGTGGAGAGGTGCCACATCGGGGTGGAAGTTTCGGACGGGAGGAGCTCCGACGCGTTTGTGAAGCGGGAGGAGATTGCTGAGGCCATTGCGAGGATCTTTAGCGACAAAGCTCGAAAGGCGAGAGCGAGGGAATTCAGGGACGCGGCGAAAAAGGCAGCGGCGTCGGGTGGTGGCTCTCGGAATAACCTGATGCTGTTCACAGACTTGCTGATGTTTGCTCCCGGCCAATGGGAGGCGGCCAAGCCGCGTGGGGCGGGAGAAGAAGGCACAGCGACACGTGTGCCAGTGGTGTCCTGCCCCCGTGCCCGTTCTTCTTAGCTCGCCCTGGATGCCCTGCCGCAATTGAGCTCACGCTTGCTTGCTTGCCGGATCAGTGGCAATCGCAGCAATTGTGCTTCTTCCTGCAAAGGTCTGTGTTCACAGTCAGCCCGGCAGCTGCTAATTTGGCCCCCAACCCCAACAATCTGGATTTTTGTGTGCTGTGAAAATTTGAAATGTCTTCATTTGGGTTTGTGGATGCTATCCAGTGGCAGAGCTGAAGCCAGAGCCAGCCTTCACAGCCAGAACCATCAGAGAGTTTGCAGTCACTGTCCTTTTGCGAGAGAGAACAAGCCCAAGGTGAGTTCTCTAACTTGCAAACCCCACCCACCTCTCACAGTTGCTCACCACGCCCTGGAAAAGGTGTGCCAGTCCTGTGTCTAAGTTTTATTGGTTGCTAGATTAGTCTCTTTTGTTTACAGATTAAGGTGTGTACAGATTGTGCTCTCATTGTATAGTCTTCGTTTTTATTTTTTTTAAATTTTTTTTCCAGTGTAAGAAGAAGGCGAGTTCTGGCTTTTACTTAGAATCTCTGAAAATTTTAAGATAAGTGCTTTGACACTAGATAGGTTATTTCATCTCATTTATCATCCCTAGCAAATATGCCTCGGCTTCGCGAAGTATTAAGAGGTATACGTCACCATTTGCCTCCAACTATTGACAGTAGCACATATAATCATATTCACAACAACCTTGCATATGGTAATGAAGAAACTAATCTAGACCTTGAACATGCTAATGCAAAAATTACTTCAAATCTTGACAATGCTAATACAAACATAGCATATGTTGATGAAGCTCATACAAATATAAACCTTGAAAATGCTAATGAAACTAATATAAATACATGTAATCATCACAGTTATACTATCTATAAATTAGCACATCAAAAGAATTATAATGACCATACGATACAACTGTTTAATATTGGAAATATGTCATCCGTATGTGTCTTTTGTGGTGCATTACATTTTGAAAATGAGTCAAGATCAATGTGCTGCCAGAATGGAAAGGTTTCCCTTCCCCAGCTTTCACCTTTACCTACTATATTGCGTATGCTTTTTAATGAAAATAGAAGCTCCAATTTTAAAATTAACATAAGAAATTTCAACAGTGCTTTGGCTTTTGCATCAATGGGTGCTAATATTGATAATTTAAGTGGTAAAGGCCCATATTGCTTTAGAATACATGGTCAAATTTATCACAAAATTGCTTCAGCATATCCTGCAGCTAACGTGCCACCATCATATGGACAACTTTACATGCTTGACGCTTCTGAGGCTACAAATATTAGAAAGCAAAACCCATTCAACACAAATTGTGATTCTAATTTATTATTACAGTTAGATAACTTGCTAAGAATAATAAACCCGTATGCACAAGCTTTTCAAATGATGTATAACCTTGAATCACAAGAACAACATCGCTCAATTTGCAATGGAACCCCAAAACGTGGTGTTTACATGATTGTTAGAAGTGAAAGTACTAATCTACATCGTTATAATTTGCCACAGACTAATGATGTTGCTATTGTTTTCGCTATTGATGAGGGTGAGCCATCTCTTGACAGAGAAATATGCATACATCCATATAACTCACAGCCAATAAAAATCTCTATTCGTAATGAAAATTGTGATCCTATGGTTTATCCTTTACTTTTACCATTTGGTGATAAAGGTTGGCATGAAAAAATCTATCACAATGAGTCGCATGTAACGCTACTCCAGTACTATGCATATCGATTATCTCAACGAGATAACATTGGCAACTCTTTCCTTTATGATCAATTGCTACATGCTGGGAAACTCACTCAACAATTTATAGTTGATGCTTATGTAAAGGTTGAATCTAATAACCTTAATTTCTTTCGCACTCATCAAAAACACTTAAAAGTGGATTACTACACAGGTCTTATGGACTATGTTAGCAACAGAGCTGCTACTAATAATGCTGAACCTGGAAAAATTGTAATTTTGCCTTCTACATTTCCTGGTAGCCCACGAGCAATGCAACAACATTATCAAGATGCTATTGCTATTGTCACACATTTTGGAAAACCTGACTTATTTATTACATTTACATGCAACCCAAAGTGGCTTGAAATTGTGCAAAACTTACAGCTGAATGAATCACCTGAGGATCGACCTGATCTTATTTCAAGAGTTTTCAACTTAAAGCTTAAAGAATTCCTACATGACATAAGTATCAAAGGAATTTTTGGGAAGTGCATCGCATATGTTTATGTTATTGAATTCCAGAAAAGAGGTTTGCCTCATTTTCATTTCTTAGCAATGTTATCAAGCGAAGATAAGATAAGAAATCGAGACTCAGTTGATGAATTTGTCACTGCACAGTTGCCACACCCACTGTTAGAACCAGAATTGCATAACATAATTATAAATCATATGATACATGGTCCATGTGGTAATTTAAATCCTAGAAGCCCTTGCATGGAAAATAACAAATGCTCTAAGAATTATCCAAAAGAATTTAATGTTGAAACCATTTATTGTGTTGATGGTTATCCTGATTATTACCGTCCCAATAACGGGCGCACTTTCATAAAAAATGGTTGTACTATTGACAACAGATGGGTTGTTCCTTATAATAAGTACCTTTGTAAGAAATATCAAGCACACATCAATGTAGAGATCTGCGCTTCTATTAAAAGTATTAAATATTTATTTCAATATGTATACAAAGGTTATGACTGTGCAACATTAGAATTCCTAACTGCATCTGAAGAACGAGGGACTTTAAATTGGGACGAAATCTCAAGTTTTGTCAATGCTCGATATATTTCTGCTCCTGAAGCCATGTGGAGTATATTTAAGTTTCATATGCATGATAAATCACTAACTATTATACGCCTTCCAGTTCATTTACCCAATTTTCAAAACGTTTATTTCAGACCAGGTCATGAACAAGAAGCACTAGAAAGAGCCACTCAAAATGGAACAATGCTTACACAATGGTTCAATTTAAACATGCAAGATACTAATGCAAGGCAATATACATATGCTCAAATTCCATTATTTTACACATATAACAAATCCTCTCATAGATGGCAATTACGCCAGCGAAAAGCTAAACTCATACCAAGAATGTATTCCATATCTCCTTCTAATAGTGAGTTATACCACTTACGGCTTATATTACTCTATAAAAAAGGTGCTATATCATTTGAGGATATACGTACTGTCGAAGGTGTTACTTTCTCCTCTTTTAAACAAGCAGCTATGGCAATGGGACTTTTAGCAGATGATTCAGAATGGCAACACTGCATGCAAGAAGCTTCTACTTTTAAAATGCCATCCCAATTAAGACAGTTATTTGTTTTTCTTTGTTTGTATTGTTCACCAAAAGATCCAAATCTATTATGGGATCAATTCAAAATTGATATGTCTGAGGATTATGCTAGAAATGACATAAACTATTTTGACATTGCTTTAGTCGATATTAATTCAAAATTCCAACTACACAATAAATCTAATTGTGATTTTGGTTTACCACTCCCAACTCTTACCCCCATTATCAAACACATGCTTAATACAGAGATCCCTAACCCATCACAAGACCAAATAAATGCAAACATAAATCAATTCAGTTATGAATAACGTTATATTTTTGAACTCATTATAAATGCCATTGATACTAACCAGCATCAATGTTTCTTTATTGATGGACCTGGTGGTACTGAAAAAACTTTTCTACTTAATACCATCATTACAGCATTACAATTAAAAAAAATAAAAGTAATCAGTATGGCATGGACTGGGATTGCAAGCATTTTGCTAAAATATGGTCAAACGGCACATATGACTTTTAAACTTCCTGTTCCTTTAAATGAAACTTCTGTCTCTGCTTTAACAATTAATAGTGATGCTGGAAAAACCATTAAACAAGCAAATGTTCTCATATGGGATGAAATTAGTATGGTTCATACACATGCTTTCTCTGTGGTTGATAAATGTTTAAAACATCTCAAATGTAATTCTAAACCATTTGGAGGCGTTATAGTGATTACAAGTGGTGACTTTCGTCAAACCCTTCCTGTTGTTCCCCATGGCCATAGAACTTCTATTATTTCAAGCTCAGTTAAAATGAATAGACTATGGTCACTCTTTACAACACTAACACTAACAAAGAACATGCGTTCAAGCAATCTTTGGTTTTCTGAATGGCTTCTCAAACTTGGCAATGGTGATAGTAGTTTACAATTGCCATGTCTCCCACCAGATATTATCAAAATACCACATGCATTATCTATCACTACATCTGTTGTAAACTTTGTTTTCCCAAATACCGATGATATTATAAATGCTTATACAACTGCATCAAAGGTCATTCTCACCCCACTCAATGACGACACATTCAGAATAAATAATGACATTGTTGAAAGACTACCAGGTGATCCATATGTTTATTTGAGCATTGACACGGTTGACTCAGATCACCCTGAAGAGTTCCCAATTGAATTCTTAAATTCAATCACCCCATCGGGACTACCACCACACAAATTAATTCTAAAACAAAATGTGATTTTGATTCTTCTTAGGAACATATCTCCGCAAATTGGTTTATGCAATGGCACTTGCCTCATTCTCAAGCAAGCATCTCAAAACGTTTTAGATTGTGAAATTATCACGGGACAATTCAAGGGATCGCGAGTTTTTATTCCACGTATTACCCTTACACCTTCTGATGTTGAAATCCCTTTCAAGATGTCTCGAAGGCAATTCCCAGTTCGTCTGGGTTATTGCTTAACTATTTCTAAAGCCCAAGGCCAAACTTTCGACCGTGTTGGCATTTACCTCCCCCAACCTGTTTTCACACATGGTCAACTTTATGTTGCTCTGTCAAGGTGTAGATCACCTGAACAACTTCGTGTTCAAGTGCTTGCAACCCCTCTTCAAGGCAATCTTATACCACATGATCAACACTTTTACACTGTGAATACAGTCTATGCTGAAATTCTTAAGTAGACTGACAAAAAAATGGCACAATTCTATATCCAACCATGAAGTTGTGAGTTTCAAATGCACACCACAACAAAGCTGGCATTGACAAGTGTGCCTTGGGTGCTGTCCCATTTTGGTTATGGCATGTGCTATTTAGTTGCTAATGGCAGAGGTACAGTTTTCATCCTATTGCTTTTTGAGTGCAG